ATAATGAAAAAGGCAGAATAGTTAGACAAACCTGGTGTGAATTCTGGCTCTAACACTGATTAGGTGTATGGAAGGTTATAGGAAAGTTACTTTAAAACTTTCTCAGCCTCAGTTTTCTTTGAAAAATTGGAATAATACTAGCTACCTCATAAGGTCATTGTGACAATTAAACTTAATCATGTCTATAATGTGCCTAGCAAGGTAGGCACTCCATGGTAGGTACATAGGTAGGTAGGTAGGTAGGAAGGTAGGGAGGTATGAGGTTTGGACAGTTTGCATCCTCCAGACTCCCAGGAGAATGCTGACTGAGAGTCCACTAAGTCTATGTCTCAGTATTTCAGCTCTTAAAAGAATTATAAACCTATTGTTAGTGTCTCGCCCCAAACCATGTGAACTCTGGATGCCTGTATAGCAGCAGGAAATGTCTGTAACGCCTGCTCAGAGCTGCCTACTTACTGTATTGGTTACTGGGGTCAGATGAGCTAGATACAGTGCTAGTCTCCAAGCTTTGCTTTCTAGAAGAGAGATCCTCAAAGTTACCATCTAACCCTTCTATTGGGTAATTTTTCACTTCTGCTATCATGCAATTTCTAAAAGTTCTTGTTTTTCTCTGCATGGTCCTTTTTGATGCCATCCTATTTATTTGAGGTCTTCTTCCTTTCCTTCTAAGATGCTTTTGTCTGTTGATTTGTCTTGCATTGTTACTTTCCTCAGATGGCTTGGTTGTCCACTCAGGTGTAAGTGTGGGGATTATAAAGCTTATTGAGAGCTCTGAGCACATGAGTGGGGCTTGTTCACCTAGCGCTTCGTTGGGATAATTTGATTGGGCCAATTTCCACATCTTCAGTTCTTTCCCATTGATATCGTCAGATTTCCCAGAGCAGGCTTCCTGTGTCCTGCCTGAAAGGCAGTGTTCTGGGGTTGGGGGAGGTGGGCTGGAGTCAGAGAGAGTGGAGGTCTTCAATTTCATTGTGCAAATAGTAACCAATATTTAGTAAGGGACATCCCCTTCTCTGCAACAATACCTAATGTCCCTGGTCCAGAGACTTCTTGTTTATTCTTGCTTGAGAGTAAATATCAAGTCTCCTGCCATGGTATAAGAGGGAATATCTCAGGGCAAAGAACTTTATGGAAACAGTACAAATTGCCAAGGCACAAAATTTTCTCACAGAGCCCTAAACCATCCCTCTCGTCAGTGGCCCTAATGTTCACCCAACAGCATGAAATGGGAGAGGGTCTAGCGAAAGGGTCAGGAAACTTTCTGTGAAGGGCCAGGTAGTAAATGTTTTAGGCTTTGCAGGCCATAATGGTCTGTCAGCACTATTCAACTCTGCCCTTGCATCATGGAAAGCAGCCATGCATAATAGGTAAAGGAATGCACATAGCTGTGTTCCAGTATAACTTTATTTACAAAAACATGTGGCAGGCCATAGTTGACTGACTCCTGATCTAGGGCATCAGTTTCTTAACTTTCAAAATAAGTCCTCATTTTAGCCAAACTTCCCCTTTTANTATCTGAAGTGTACCTGGCGTATAAGACGACCCCCCACTTGGAGGCATATTTTTCAGGGCCAAAAAATCGTCTTATACGCCGGCAAATACGGTAAGAGGAATTCACTACCTCTCATCTTTTTAGCGATCATCAGGAATCAGATTTTCTGATGTGTTCTGAATGATGTTTTGCTTTGTTATTTTCCTTCTGAAATATGTTCCTCTTTTTTGGGATACAGCCCAAGCCTAGAATGCCATGTCATGCCACTCCCCGGATCCGCAGCCGAAACCTGGCTGCCCAGGATCCGGCCAGCGTGCTGGAGGAGGCCAGGCTGAGGTAACGCTGCTCATGTGCCCCTTTCAGATAGGGAGAAATGGGCCTCTGCTTTCATTCACATGAAGCAGGAGTAATAATAGAGAGTAAAATGAATGTGTGTGTCTAGAGAGAAGAAACCTCTCAAGCAGTGTCTGGGTGAGCTAATGCAGACAGGTTCTAGAAGGAATACTCCTGCCATCATTTTCTAAGCAATGGAAGTTGCTTAGTCAGGACACTGCTTCTTGGTTATGGTACCCTTTAGAACTATATGGAACTTTTTTAAGATACATAAGCCTAGATCCTGGCAGAAATCAACTGAATCTCTTGTGGGATAAGATCCACCCATGTGATTTGGGGAAAGCTTCCCAGGTGATAGATATAGTCCCTTGGTTAGAACCACTAAGTTGGGTGATTTGGGTGAAGAAAGGGATTATGAGGCCACATGAAGAGATTTGAGAATGAAGGCATACCCTTAGATTTGTGATTAAGGTTTCTTATTAGAAACAATCGATAAGCCTTTTCCATTTATTACTGAGTAGATGGTGAAATGCTCTAAACTCCTTTTCTCTTATTTAGGCTGCATGTTTCTGCGGTACCTGAGTCTCTTCCCTGTCGGGAACAGGAATTCCACGACATCTACAACTTTGTGGAAAGCAAACTCCTTGACCACACTGGAGGGTGAGTCTTGCTGGGGCAGGCAGGATGGTCAGGGGAAAAGGCCTCTGCTGGTATACCACCTCAGGTGTCATAGTTCAACCAAATGGTCTTTCCCCAGTGTCAGGAGAACGGGCAAAATTGTTGTTCAAATCTAAAGCTTCTGAAGAAGCTTTTGTTGTCAAAGTAATCCTATAACAATAGAAATTCTGTCTTTCAGAGAAAAATGACACTGGCCTTCTTTGGGTAGACGGTTTGCATATAGCATTCCTATGGAATGAATGATTCTACATAAACAGGTCCTGCCCTGACCAGCTTCCAAGGATAGTCCCTACTGCCCCACCTCCACATTTCAGGAGTCTCAGTTTTTCCTCCTGGACACGATCTCACACTCCTAACTGGTGACAGCGTGAGGTAGCTGGCACAGACTTAGCCCACAGTCTTCCCTTCCTGCCTAGGTGCATGTACATCTCCGGGGTCCCTGGGACAGGGAAGACTGCCACTGTGCACGAGGTGATACACTGCCTTCAGCAGGCAGCACAAGCAAATGATGTTCCTCCCTTTCAATACATTGAAGTCAACGGCATGAAGCTGACGGAGCCTCACCAAGTCTACGTGCAAATACTGCAGGTAAGCAAAGCTGTCTGGAAAATAAAGTTTCTTGATGGCACATGAAAAAGGAAAGGTTTACTTAATTTTGTGCATATTACATGATTTCAACATGGCAGACATTGTCCTTTGTGTAGCAGTAGCAAGGGGGCAGAATTCCTACCCTCAAGGACCTTGAAGTCGAGGAGCTCGATAGGAATTGCTGGAAGCCAGGACTTGGCAACATGGTGAAAACCATTTGCACACAGGAGGCAGTGTGGCAATCTAGAGAAAAGGGGTTAGAGATAGGCTAGAGGTTGATTCATTGTTATCTTGTAACAAATAATGTCCAGTTATAAATAGAATTATGTAGTAATGATTTTGGAGGTGCTTCTGGGACCAGTCTGTGGCTCATTTGCATTTCAGTCACATGGACTTTATTTATCTTCCATTTTGGTGCCTTCTCTTCTCCTCCCAGGTTAGGGTTAGGCTAGAGTGGAAGGCAGAGGATAGGATACTGAAGTCCTCAGACCAAATAGCTTCCTCTATTTGCAGATTTAACTTGCAGCCCAGGGGAGTGAAATCCTTACAATTTGCCATACCTGTTTTTCCCCCAATGCAGAAGCTGACAGGCCAAAAGGCAACAGCTAACCATGCTGCAGAACTCCTGGCAAAGCGATTTTGCACCCAAGGGTCCTCTCAGGAAACCACTGTGCTGCTTGTGGATGAGGTAAGGAGGTCCCCACAGGAAGACTGGAAAGGAAGTGGCGTGGTTCCAGACTGGAAAGTTCCAGGAGCAAATACTTTGCGGGAGGGAAGTCCTGGCTCCTTTCTTCATTCATCTGAGCCCATTCTCTTGGGGCAAGAGGCACAACGTGCCCATTGACTTCCTTGCTGCTTTGGGGTGTGACCTGAAAAGTGCATGTGGCTAAAGCAACTGTAACAGGTCTTCATTCTGGGGCCCTGGCTTGGTCTCTGTGGTTGACCCTG